TTGTGTACGTTTGACTTCTCATGAATGAGTCAAACTTCTTGTACCACAGCCTAGGCGCTTGTTTCAGCCCATAAAGACTCTTTTTTCAACTTTCACACCATGTGTTTCTTCGCCTTTACTTCAAAACCTTCTGGCTGCTCCATATAGATCTCTTCTTCCAAATTTCCATGCAGAAATACAATTTTCACGTACAACTACTTCACTTCAAGATCTAGGCTAGCTGCCAAACTCAAGATTGTTCGAATAGAAGTCATTTTGACAACAGGTGAGAAAATTTCATCAAAATCAATACCTTTCTTCTGTTCGAAACCTTTTACCACCAATCGAGCTTTGTGTCTGACCAGCTTGTCGTTTCCATCTTTCTTGAGCTTAAAGACCCACTTGCACTTGAGCGGTCTTTTGCCTTTTGGAAGTTCAACCAGTTCGTATGTATCATTCTTCTGTAAAGAATTCATCTCTTCTTACATGGCTTCCATCCACCGGATGAGATAGCACCTCCTTGAAATTCCCTGCTCCCCCTCATCAGTGACGAGGATATACTCTGAAGAAGGATACCTTGTGGACTCTACCTTCTCTCTTTCAGATCTTCTCAAAGGTTGTTGCCCTTCTTGTTGTTGCTGTTGTTGTTGCTCTCATTCTTCCTCTTGTGGACTAGGGTGCTCCCCCTGCTTAGCAACCTCTTCATCTACACCTTCCGAGTGCCATTCTTCACTTGTGGAAAGATTACGTACAGGTACAGTAGGAGTAGTAACAAAGTTAGTAATTCTACCATTATCATTTTTGGTCTTTGTTGATTGATCACTATCAATCCCGACCACATCTTCTCTAAAGATCACATCTCTACTTCTGATGATCTTCTTCCTTTCTGGGTCCCACAATCTGTAGCCAAACTATTCGTCTCCATAACCAATGAAGATGCAGGGAATAGCTTTGTCATCCAGCTTTGTTCTCTGCTCCTTCGGCACATGTGCAAAAGCTTTACATTCAAACACTTTCAGATGGGAGTAGGACACCTCTTTGTTGGTCCAGACTTTCTCTGGAATGTCAAACTCCAATGGAACTGATGGACTTTTGTTAATCAAGTAATAGGTTGTTCGAGTTGCTTCACCCCAAAATGACTTAGGTAGTTTTGCCATTTTGAGCATACTTCTCACTTTTTCGACAATGGTGCAATTCATCCTTTCAGATACATCATTGTGTTGTGGGGTTATAGAAACTGTCTTCTCATGTCTGATTTCATGGCTTGAGTAGTAGTCTTCAAACTCCTTTGAAGTATACTCTCTTCTATTGTCTGTCCTGAGACACTTTAATTTTTAACTTGTCTCCCTTTCCACCAGAGCATAGAATTTCTGAAATACTTGAAATACCTGGTCTTTGGTTCTCAGGAAATAAACCCACAATTTTCGTGAAGCATCATCAATAAATGTGAAAAAATATTTGCTACCTCCCATTGATTCTACATCCATTGGACCACAAACATCAGAATATACTAAATCAAGTATATTCGATTTTCTTTCATGAGTTGCTTGAAACAATACCTTGTGTTGTTTTCCAAATAAATAATAATCACAAGAATTCACAGTTGTACCTTTTGCAAATGAGATGAGTGACTTTTTGGATAGGATCTGTAGTCTCTTTTCACTCATATGGCCCAATCTCTGGTGCCATAAATCTGCTGGCGTATCATTTACAGCCGCATATAATTCATTTTCACATATCTCAGCGGTTGTCTTGTACAATGTGTAGGGAGTAAATCCTTTAGCAATCACCAATTATCCCTTGGTGAGTCTCCACTTCCTATTGGTGAAGTGGTTCTCGTACCCGCCTTGATCTAGAGCGATCCCTGAAACCAAATTCATTCGCAGATCTGGTACGTGCCGCACATCTTTTAAAACTAATGTGCATCCGATATTTTTCTTGATACAAATGTCGCTAATTCCCACAATCTTTGAGTGACTGGTATTTCTCATTTTGACCATTCCAAAGTCTCCTGCTTTGTACCTATAGAAGAATTCCCTTACCGGTGTGGCTTGATAGGAAGTTGATGTATCAACCACCTATTCTGACTCTTGGCTTGCTAAGCGCATGTATTCCTCCTCCTCGTGAACGAAGAGAACCACCGAATCATCATTGTGCACTACAGCAGTTGTGTTGTCATCATTCTTCTAGCCACTACTCTTCCATTGACCTTTCTTTGGGAAATCTCTTTTGAAGTGACCAGGTTGACCGTAACTGTAGCAATTTCTACCCGTTGACCGATTCCTGTACTTTCCACGAGCTTTGGATTTATCATGGTTACTCGATGCTCTATAAAAACTTCTTCCTCTGTTTTCCATGATAAGAGTCTGCCCCTGATTTTCGGGCTTCTTCCTCATCTTATAATTGAGTAGGATGGCTGATGTGACCTCCTTTAAATCAATGGTATCTCTACCATGCATGATGTTTGTTGCCAAATTACCATAGGAAGATGGCAACGAGTTTAGAAGCATGATAGCCTTATCTATTTCAATGATTGTTTCTCCAAGGTTTGCCAGTTGCGTGATTAATCCATTGAACATATTTAAATGGGACAAGAAATTTGTACCTTCACTCATATGGATGGCATAAAACTTCTTTCTCAAAAATAACTTGTTTGTTAAGGATTTGGACATGTATAAACTTTCTAGTCTTTTTCAAATACCACATGCACTATTTTCATCCCCAACATTATTGAGTACTTCATCGGACAAGTGCAGTCTGATATCACTAGCTGCCTTATTATCCATGTGTGTTCATTCCTCGGCTTTCATGGTTTTCGACTTTTCCTCTTTTCCATCTAGTGCAATGTCTAACCCTTGTTGGAAGAGCAGGCCCTTCATCCTTCTTTGCCATATGGAGAAACCGCCATTACCGTTGAATCTTGTTACTTCATACTTTACTCCTAACATTTTTTTTGTCACAGAGTAAAATTGACTGTAAATAATATTTCTGTGCATGAGCAGAACTTGTACTCTGATACTAGTTATTGAAAAAATCAACCCCCATAGAAATAATATTCACGGTATACGACTATAATAAATGTGGATTACTAAAATACTGTAACCAACGATAATAATAAGAGAAACAATGACACCGAGATTTTTACGTGGAAAACCCTTTTGAATAAGAGAAAAATCACGGCCCGAGAGGAGCAACTGATTTCATTATAGCAAGAATTTTACAATTTATGGTACAGAGTAAAATACTCCAAGATCACTAAACACTCAAAAAAAATAATCCTCTTTTGATTTTTTTACCTCACTACAATACCGCTCAAACTCTCTATATTTTTTCTCACATAGTATTTTGCTTCTTACTTTGTAAATCACTCTCTTTCTCTTTATTTTGGTGTGTCTACAAATGAAAGTAGAGGCACCTATTTGTAGTTGCAGAATACCCATGATGATGTATGTAATGACATCAACACTACTACAAAAGTTTGCCCAAATCTTTTCTAGTATTAATTGGTTGGCTTGAAGTTTTCAAAGCAAAAGAAAACTTCTCTTCTTTCACATATGGGATGGACCCAACAACCTTTCTCTTATAGGTTTGAGACTATTTGGGATCTATATATAGGGGTTATAGTTGGGGATTCTACAGATTGTATTGTGCTTTTCTTCTCATTTATAGTGGAAAACTCTCTTTGCTTCTGCCCCCGAGGATTAGGCTTAGCCGAACCTCGTTAAATTCTTGTGTTGATTTTTCTTCTCTATTTGCTTTGTGTGTGATTGTGTGCTAGTTAACCCACGATCTTCCGCAACAATTGGTATCAGAGCAAGGTTCGGATTTCTCTGATACCAATTATTGTAAAAAAATAAATAAAATTTGTTATAAAAGATGACAAATGGAGGCAAATTCAGTATTTAACTCGATAAATCCAAATTATCACCGTACATACTTGTCGTTTGTAACAATGACATAAGCATACATGCATGTGTCTTTAGGTTAACAAAAGCGTATTGATACGATTGCCAAAAAGTTTGAGTATTTAGTGCTTATAATCTGTAACTTACTAAAAATTATTTCTTTATGTTAATCTGAGTAGTATTTACTAAATCATGGATGGCCAAGGTCGGGAAAAAAACGATATTATTGTTTATTCAGTTTCTAACGGATTAGGCAAATAATGATGATAAACTTATAAAAATAAAAAAGTTTCTAACGGATTAGAAATTAGTTAAATAAATAAATTATTTACCTATTTGTCCAATTTTCGACCATTGGCCATCAGTAAATAGTTAATCCATCGTATATCTACGGAGATAAGTGATCTTGATAGACTCCTCATAGACCATAGTTATGACCATTTTTTTCCAATCCGTCATCCTCTCCTCCCTCTCTCAGAGCCTCATAGAGACAAGACTCCGACCGTCCATCTCCAGTCTCCACGACAAAGACAACTTCGTGGTAATTAATGAGAAAACGTACCCCCACACAAGGTTCGAAATCTCCTTTAGTTCATATATTGATTAATCAGTCTAAGACCACGTCATCACGGGGTCTCAACTTACAGTTTTAAAAAAAACAACTACTGTAATAACTTCATCTCGCCATCTATCTCGTTCACTTCCGCCATTTAGTTGATAAGAAAACTGAATTTTATTTGAAAAAAGTAATATGAAGGAACATGTGAAATTCTTGGTATTTCTCAGATAATTATTGCTCCTTGGTTTGGTTTTAATTTAGGTGAATCTTTTTGGCCGGACATAAAGTTAAAAAAATAAAAAATAAAATGTATATTCTTAAATATACTATAAAATTTGTTTGGGTAATAAAAACTTCTCATTAAAAATAAATAATGTAAATATTTTCAAAGGATAATTTTAAAAAAAAAATAGATTTACTTACATTGAAACAGATACCATAGTAATACAGTAATTTTGGCACTTTACGTATGTCAAACATGTGAATTGTTTTCCAAAACTTTAAGTTCTGTAAAGAGTGTCACCCGAAGTGAAGTAGCAAATAAGTAATGGAGTATATATTTGTCAATGTTTGATCTCATTAGAAATTTCTTGATGACAGAGCAACATGAGGTTATAAAACAATTCTAACTATCCCGTTATTTCCGATATTTCAACCCAGAATTTTTAATCCAATTAGCTGGAGAGAAGGAAGTTAATATATTATTGCAAATAAATTAATGATAGAAACTTTGAGAAACCGCCTCAGTAGTGACTCTGGTTGTTGGTCTTCTCTCAAACGCCATTCTTCCGCTGATGAACCATGTTTGTGAAGTCGGTATTGAAATCAGAATAGAGAGAAGCAACCTTTGATATGTTTCCGTTCAGCTCCTGAATTAGGGTCACGTTCTGCACCATACTATCGTGCGATCTCGACTGATGATTCTCGTTAACTTGTTGAATCAACAATCTGTTTCGATCCAACACCGACTGCACCTCTCTATAATTATTGGAAAAAGAGTTCCACATCTCGGAGTCACCTTCCTCCATATTGAAGTCATCGTAACCGCGTTCTTCGGTGAAGGTTTCCACGGCAGAGTTATCGGCCCTCCTACGGACGAGATGACTATTTGTCTTACGGCTGGAGTGGGATTTGGCTAAGGTTTGACGGTGGCGGTTGAGGTTATTAGAGGTGTCTGCCATGCTTAGAATATGATATGAAGCGGTTTCGTTGTCTTCGAAAGTGTAAATGCAAAAGTGTTTGATATTTTTCTACAAATGTTTGTCCTTTATATAGAGGTTAGGGAAAAGTGTACACCTTTTAGATATTGTTTGGAGTCAAAACAGAGATGAGTCACGGTGTGTGAATAAGACACAATGTGCGAACAAGACAGGAGTGAAAAAAGAGTGAAGGATTTTAGGCCACGCTCTTCGAACGAGAATTGGGATAAGTTTAATTTGTAAAATATCTTCTCATGGATTCTTATGGGACCGGATTAAAAAAAATTAAAAAGTGCAAAAGGTCACAATTTGGCCAGCACAAGCTTAATCCAGCATATAGGGTTGGTTTCCTTGGGAATGGGTGGAATCAAAGCGGAAATATCTAGAGAGCTCTCCACGAAAAGATTTTGTACATAGTATAATAGATATTAAAAAATCTAATAAATTGATCGAACTGAATTGTATCGAAATATTTATTAAATAATTTTATAATAAAATAGAAAGTTTTTATACTCATTTTATTTCAATTTATGTGAATATATTTTTTTTAGTCCGTGTCAAAAAGAATGATTTCTTTCCTTATTTGGAAACAATTTACTTTTATGCAAAGATTTATAGCCACACAAAATATATGTGCCTCATTTTACACCACAAGCTCAAAAGTCTTCTATATTTTCTTAAATTTCATGCTCAATCAAATAGGTTCACATAAATTGAAACGGATGAAGCATAAACTTATAATTGTACCAAATAATTAAGTTATGTTTTAAATTTTACAAAAATATACGAAAATATATCGAATCGTTTCGACTAAATTATATATGAAAAAATATATTTTATATAATAAGTTGAAAAATAACATAGCACTGCAATTTTTCCTTGGGCTTTATGATTTAGGAGACTATTATAAGCCAGCAAATAATTAAAATTCAAAGCCCAACTTCAAGCTTATTATGTTATTTTTATTGAAACTAAATTAGTTCTAGGATCTTGAGTAGTAAGCCATAAAGTATTTCTATAATCTTGAGTTGAAAGCCACAAGGTATTGAATATCTTTCCACCTTGATTATATTTTTCATTTGTGTAATTTATATTTCTCTTGTCTTTATTTAATTTCTTTTATGTTGAGGTAGAATAATGAGATGGATCTCTATTTTGATCATCTTTCATATTTTCTTGATTAATCACAGTTTAAAGAGTAAAATATCTGGAGAGTTTTGCCAAAGTCCTATGTAAGTACGTATATATCACGTTTTTAATTACTTTTACTAGCGACTCTTACATTATATTAAGAAAAAATTAACCGAACTGTACCAATACCGAAAAGAAATTAAACCAAGATGATTGAGACGATTTCAAAAAGTCTAATTTTAGTTATATGAAATAAAATAACTGAAAAATTAATATAGTATAAAATTTATAAAATAACCGATGGAATCGAACCATTAACACCACTAAATAACAAAGAATATTGTGAATTTTTAAAATGGTGTTATGGAAATCAATTTTAATTCTTAGCATATTGACAGGGAAACTATGATTGACGCGGAATAGATCAGCGGTTTCATTGATCAATACCGGAAGACAAGGAAGCCGTTATGTCTCATCCGTGCACTGTTACCATCTTGGTTCAATCATGGTCAAAGCTTACCTGCAATGGCTGGCAAAGTTCAATGTGGGATATCTTTAATTGAATTCCTTTCATTGAAAATTTATTCTATACTAATTAATACAGTAAAAAAAAATGTATTCATTTGTATATTTTAAGTTTTCAAAAAAGTTTCAGATGTACTGATAAGAGGAGTTCAAAAGTTGCTTGAGGTCACAAAGTTTGAATCCTAGATGTAGCATTCCTACATTTTTCTGAATCTCCCGGTGTGGTTTCCCGGCTTTCCACTGCTTACCTCCTAGATGTGTGTGTATATATATA